GTCCCGAATGACTTCCCGTCACTCGAGAGACTGTATATGACCAATTTGTGCACGACAGAGAAAACCGGAGGCAGGTATGCTGGAAAGAGCGGAAGTATACACATCTAGATGTGTATAAGAGACAGGAGCTGCCCGAAAAACTGTAGGCAGAGAGAGAGAAGAGGACAACAAACGAGGGGCTGTGACAAACTGTTTCGTCGGAGTTTCACCGACTCATCAGGAGGCTGAATATATATACATATATATATTGTCACAAAATATCAGAGCGCAAATGCGGAAAAAAAAGGAAAAAAAAGAAGAAAAGAAAATTGAATTCAATTTTTAATCTTCTTCCTTATAACTCCCCCTGTTCAGAACCTATATATATCGTCACAAACAGAACTGTCCGGTAAACCGTAGGCAGAGAGAGAGAAGAGGACAACAAACGACGGGCTGTGACAAACTGTTTCGTGGGAGTTTCACCTCCGTACTCATCAGTAGAGGCTGAACCCTGAACAGTCTGCAGAATCCCATATATATATATATAATCCACTTGAGCCGTATTGTCCGGCAATCTTATCCACTTCGGCCGTAGATTCCGGTAATGCCAGACAATGCCAACCAAGTCAGCCGTAGTAGTTATGGATACATTGGATAGGCTTAATATACATTTCCTTTTCCTTTCTCTTTCTTGTTGTGTTTAATCCACTTCTGTCGTAGATTCCGGTAATAAGTGAGTTCGATGCAGATGCTACTAGTACTAGCAAACCATGCAGCGAGGTAGCACATTCACATGAGCACAACACAAAGAAACACTTCAGCGATGTAGTTCATTCACATTTCGCTTTGTTTCTTTTTCTTTTTTTTGCTTTTTTTAAATCCACATCGGTCGTAGATTCCGGTAATGCCAGACAATGCCATCCACGTCACCGGTAGTAGTCATGGATAGGCTTATACATTTCGTTTTTTTTTTCCTTTTCCTTTTTCTTTTCTTGTTGTTTAATCCCGTTCAGAAGTCGTAGATTCCGGCAATGCCCGACAATGCCATCCACGTCAGCCGTAGAAAAGCAGGTGCACAGAGAGAGAGAGAGAGAGAGAGAGAGAAACAGGGAGACCGTTGGCTGTGGTTTCGCAGGATGGAAGAATCGACGGGGAAAGAAGACCCTGTTCAGCTTGACTCTAGTTCGACTCTGTGGCAAAAAAAAA